ACCAACAACATTACAGAGGCTTTAGTTTTAATCGCTTTCTCTGCTATACACCACAGAGTTGACAAATGCTGTGAGCATACTTGATAGACCTGCCAACAAACTTTCACAGATCCTCGAGACTTTTCGCCTCGACAACGGTTTGACGGAGGCGTGTGGTTAGCACAGGAATATGGAAGCAACAATGGGACAATGTTTTGACAACTTTCGTCTGGACTAGAAATGCCATTTGACCTTTCATTGCCCCCTCGCTGTCGGATACGCAATTCTCTCAAAAAATAGGATCGCTGTTTAGACTGGAGCAAGCTTCCTGTTTGACAAATCAGCTGTAGGGGATTAGAGATGGCTGTATAATTAAACAGGAACGTTTATTTTTTTCTCTCAAAAATAACCTTGCCATGAGACAGACTCATCTCGGGCCATGCCAGTTAGTGATCAAATCATTGCCTTAAAACGTCGCGTCAACTGAAGCAAAGTGGCCTCCACAGGCCACGTGTCAATCATGCTCCAGCAAAAAGGAGGCACAACATTTCCGACCAGACTTCTGTGCTGCACAATTTTCGTGATCCGAATGGAATGGACGACAGGCAGTCCATTTTCGAGCCATTTACTCACCAAACAGTGTGGACACTTTCTTTGAACGAAAATGGAGGAAACACCATTGGTGCTTGTCATCATCCATGGCAAAAAAAACAGGGTAAAAATGGGCAATGAGAAGCATCGGATCGCAAAACCAAAGCGATGACGGCAGAATTGTAGGAGACACTGCATAACTAAATGTAATTACTGAGAGGTGAAAAATGAGGTCGCACTTCTAGGTGGAAATCAGGCATGCAAATTTAACAAGCATCCGCATTACACCCAAATTTCATGAAGGAAAGTTAAAATGAGGCTTTTGTTCTCGAAGGGGAAAAAAAAATCAACACGCTACTACCAACTGTTGGGTCTTCTAGTTAAGGGAGTTAAGGCCAAATTAAGCCTTGTTGGTGGTTTGGAAAACTACGCAAAAGTTGGAGCTAACTCCATTAATGACAGAGAATCAATCAACACAGGGACAAAAGATTTGCCTTGAAAAATGCTCCACTATGGTAATTAGACTTTGGGCGTGACTGGAATACATTGTGACTTTAAAATATTATTGCGGTATGAATAAATGTTGATGAGCGTACTTGCATGAGAATGGCAATATCCTCCCTTGCGGTAAGCAGTTCATCCAAATTGACAGTGCCAAGGACATTCCGAAGTGTGGTCTGTCCAAGCAATCGGGTGGATCTGTTGGCATCCTCAACATTCACCACAGCACAGACGGGATTACGAATCCGGTAGTAGACTACAGCATTCACAGCTACAGTGAGGGAGTCCTTGGTGAGCACCTCTTGCGTGGGCACATTGAAGGTGAAAGTGCGGAGATCAACCACACGACAGTTGTCCAAACAGGGGAGAAGGAAGATGAGTCCTGGACCTTGAGCCTCGGAGGCGAATAGCCGACCCAGTCGGAATACCACAGCACGCTCGTAGTGGGCTACAACCTAAACAAATGCCATTGTTGGTTTATATCTCCTCGGCACTATTCACCGATGCAAACGGCACAAAAAATGTTGGTAAACCATTTCAACCGGAAAATGTCTCTCCTTGACCACTTTTCAGTAGTTGAAAGAGAAAGGTTTTCGACTCACAAACAAAAATGTCATTCGCTAAACCCTCTTTTCAGTTACATTTTGGAGTTGAAAAACATCACGAGCAGCAAACTTGCAATGTAAATATAAACGTCGACTTTTAATTTTTTTTTCGACAGGCATTTGTCATCCATACAAGGCGATGTAGCATTTGTTGGCACTGATTCGGGCCTAGAAGTAGTAAAGTTCGAGGATTTTGCTCCCTGCGGAAGTGAATAAAAAGATCTGACACATTTTATTTGGTCCTTTGGGAGAAATAATGCAACAATTTTTATCTTTTATGCCCAAGTGGAGATAATTTCTGTGAATTTGGTGCGAAATTCATTGCCATCATCAACACAAACTCTTGGACACGTTGTGATAGATGGCTAGACCAAATTGTACAACACAAGTTTGCACCCCTAAGACGGATGTGTATTTCCACTGGCTTGACAATGCAAGCCCTGTTCTACAGTTGAGCTAAATAATCGCCTTAAAACTAAAAATGATCTGCATAAGGTAAGTAGAATGGCATCCGAAATC